GTTCACTTGTATTTATATCTAAATAGACTAGGGAAATGAAATTTATATGTAAAGAAAAATTATAATTGTAACGTACAAACGACTTTAAAGAGATCTTGTACCGAAGCAGCTGGTTCCATTAAGTTGAATACAGTTGTAGTCAATGAAAGGCTTCCCCAATTACTTGCGTTTTTATAATAAAGAACAAAAAATGTGAACTGAATGAGGGAATGCATACCAGTAGTGTGTTCGATTCGCTACTCGCTAAGTCATCGTGAAAAGAAAATATGCGATTTAATACAATGCATGATAGTTTTTTAACTGAATCCAACTGGTATTCACTCTTTATTTGATCGTACGACAATATACCAGTTGTGTGTTCGATTCGCCTTTCGCCAAAGAATCTTGTTAAGAAAATATGCAAAATAATACAATACATGAGGGTTTTTATTATACGGTATCCAACGGGGGTCCACTCTCCATTGGACCATACGACATTATACCAGTTGTGTGTTCGACTTGCAACTCGCCAAGGAATTGTGTTAAGAAAATTTGCAAAGATATATAATACATGAGGGTTTTTATACCTTATACAGCTGTTATCTACTCTTTATTTGACCACACGGCATTATACCATGACCTAAAACATCGTGAAAAATAAATTTGCAAGATAATACAATATATGAGAATATTCTATACAGTTGATATCCACTCTGGTATTGGTATTTCTTTCTATGCACGTTTCGTTATTTGCCAAGGCTTGGTGAAAGGAAAATCAAGAAAATAATAATATACATGAAGATTTTATACACAGTATGCAACTGGTATACTTTCTCTAATTTATTATGCCAAGGTATGTATATTCTTTATACCAGTTGTGTGCTTGATGCGCTACCACTTGTATGTTCGATTGGTTTCTTGCCAAGTAAATAACGTAAATAGCACAATACATGAGTTTTTTCTATACTGTATCCAACTGGTATCCACTCTCTATTTCTACTATGTCAAACTATCTACGAGGTGTGTTCAAAAAGTATCGCGAATTTTGTGTTTTTTCAAAAATTATGTATTTATTCATGAATATCTATTTTGTCCCCTTCAAAGTAATCTCCATGAGATATTATACACTTGTGCCAACGGTTTTTCCAATCTTCGAAGCACTTCAAAAAATAATTTTTTTATACCAGTTTTGTGCGCGACTCACTTCTAACCAAGGCTTCGTGAAAAGTAAATATACAAGAGAAAATGCAATGCAAGAGCAAAATTTATACTATACTCTCTATTAGACAGCTTAGCACGCCGGTCTGTTGTGGTATCTAAATGTCTTGTATAAAGAATCATAAGGCCCTTACAAATCGACAAAGCACATCCTATCACAAGTTTGTGAAAGCGTCTAAGTCGAAGCTAAATTTCTGATTGTATTGACCGAGAATAAGCAACTAGAAACATACATGTAAGTATAGTATGTTATGAACACTCTCACTAGAAATATTTACTTTTTTTTATTTTGCCACACATTTTCTTTCAATTTCGCATGTAGAAAAGTTCCAAGTTCTTAATTGATCTCATAAATCATTCAACTTATCTTTTAATACATAAAATAAAAGGAAGAAAAATAAGAGGAAGAAAAGGAGAAACCACCGGCAAGCAGCAAACACTTCCTCTGCAACACGCGAGAAATTAATACACACAGCACAATTTTCACAGTTTTCCTAACACAACTAATCAACACTTCAAAATCTTCACCACACAAACCAAACGAAAAAGAAAAAGTGGAAAGAATGAAATCGAAATGCTTCTTAAACAAAATTTTTCTCACCAACAAACAAGCGCGTTGCTGCTGCGCCTTTTACCTTCGCAACGCCATCGCGAAGATTAAAGCAAACAGAACGCCCATCTAAGTCAATTCTCGGGCGCACATGTGGCACAAACTCCGTTGGCCACCTTGGGGTTTGACTTGCCATGCCTTGCCTTGACGAGGAATGCGCCAACAACAGCACGCCACTAAGGCCAAGAGCGCTGTGCTCCGACGCGAACGCAACAATGCGCGCTGCTTGCCGCTCGTACGCGCTCTACGTTGGGCTTATTTGCTTTTTGCGCTGCCTGTTGCATGCAACTTCCTGTCAATATTTTTCACTTTTCAACGTTTTCCTGTCGTTTTTGCGAAATTTATTGCGTTCGCCGGCCGTTTTTGCGCTTACTTATCTCGGAAATTGCCAAAGTAAATCAAAAAACTGTGAAATCCCTTTCTTCACAAAATGCCACATGCAACAGTGTTCTAATGTATGTACATATGTGTGGATGTAAGACTATGTGTTTGCTTATATTTATAAGGAAGAATGTTGCGTTATATGTGCTTGTAGACGTTTGTATTAATGGTCAATTGGCCCTTAATGCTGCTGCTAGCTGAATGGCATTGCTTGAGGGGCAAGGCGGTGTGTTGGGGGACGCACGATCGCTGTGTTACGATCGGTAGTGCCAAGGAACTATTATATTTGCGCGCTTTCAATGGAAAATTACACAAAAAAAAAACAACAAAAAAAAAATTCGATTGCTATGAGAAGGCACAGTGGGACGTAGTTGCCAAAAAATTAATAAAAAAATTGTATCCAACTAATTTTTTTTTTTTTG